GTGCTTAGGAACCGCACATTTCCCGCTCTGCAATTGGGGCCAATGGACCTGCAGGGTAGGATGGACATTACTTCCAATGAGTCGACTGGATTCTCGGTTGGATTGACATGTCGCGGGGATGGACATCGACTTCCTCCATTGGTTGTCTTTAAAGGTGCAAGAACTGGTCGACTGGCCAAAACGGTGCCTGCTCAAGTCAATGCTCTTGGAGTCGGTGTTCAAGTTTCATTTCAACAAAATGCATGGTTTGACAGCGACGTGATTCTCAACGAGTGCATTCCTCAATTTAAATCTGAAACTTCTGGAAGAAAGGTGATGATGGTGTTGGACAGTTACAAAGCTCACTTGACTCACCCAGTAAAGAGTGCATTTAAGGATACTGGAATAATTCCCGCTGTGATTCCGGGTGGATACACGTCAAAACTTCAGCCACTAGATATTGGAATCATCAAACCTTTCAAGGATGGAATTCGGCGAAGGTGGACAGTTTGGATGCGGAATTCCATCACAGATGCGAGCGAGTTGAATGGAGACGGCAGAAGAAAGCGGCCAAGTCACGCAATTATTTGTAGTTGGATTAGTAGTGCTTGGAATGATGTGGATAACAGTGTGTTTGAAGCTGCTTTTAGGAAAGGGTTGTGGGGAAGAAATAAGTAAACAATAAAGAGCTAAGGAGAACAAAGATAAGACTCTGTTATTACAAGAGTTCTTTGGTTTGGGGTTCCAAAGGAAAGGTTGCATAAATCTTTTTCGTACTCCCCGTCTCTCCTTCACATGAATGATATTTTATTTAAAGTAAACCAGCTCTAGAGCGTAATGTTTTGATAAAGTTTATATCGTCCTTGTCAATGGTTGCACGCTTGCGATGAATTGTTGCAAGATTAACATCTTCAAAGAAAGACACAAGATAAGCTTCAGCCGCTTCATGAATAGCAACAAGGGCGTTCTTTTGAAGCAAGTATCGATGGTTCGCATTTGGTTCTGAATATTGATTAGATTCAAAGACAACCGGAATACGTTCGTTAGGCCTGCGACTGCAATATTCTGAAATGGGCCATAACTGACTTTTTTTCCTGTTTATTCTACAAAGGGGCGAAAAAAGTTCCAAGGTGTAGTACAGCATCCTTTTGTTTCGGCCAAGTACAAACCAAAACGGAGTTCACCAGGTTGCTTGTACAGTGCTTTCTTTCGGCGTTGCAATTGCCGGAATCTGTGTGGGGATCGCCGCAGCCGCTGCCGTTGTCCCATCGGGACTGCCTGTCGCAATCGCCCTCTTTGCCGTTGGCGGCGGCTTGGTATCGGCGGGCATATCGACAATAACGAAAACAATCAGAAACGACGAGTTTTCATGGGAAGACACTGCGAGGTGTGCCGGACTCAGTTTTGTCACTGGTGCTATTTCTGGCGCAATTTGTGGTCCCTTCGGCCACGTCGCTGCAGGTTTGCCGCTGTTACAAGGTGTCGGCGTTGCGGCGGCAGGTGGGGCGCTTTCGGGCTTGGTCTCATCCGTTGTCCAAAATGCAATCAATGGACGGCCGACCTTTCAAAATACGCTCCAGTCTACGCTTATTGGCGGTCTGTCTGGCGCAGTCGGTTTTTGTGGAGGCTCCTTGATTCAGTCGTCGGGCTTGCAGAAACAGGGGATGCAATTTTTAACCATTGACAATCTGAAATACGTGGTGGCAAAAGCCGGAATGGGTGCCGTAACAGGCGCCATTGGAGGTGGATTAGGCGCCTTGGTGACGGGAGACAAAAATGTTGTGGGTCGAGCAGTCGAAGGAGCGGTCATTGGTGGATCTGTGGCTCTCGCTTCCGCAGCAGTTGCAAACGGAGCAAAGACTTTTGCAAAGCAAATGTTTGATGACAAGGAGAAGGCGCGATTTGCATCTTAAAAGCATCAATTCATGGCATCTGCTCGAACAGAACATGTGGAAAGACACATATCAAAAAATCCTGAAGTATTTGCGGAACGATTGCAGAGTGAACCGCATTTGAGGGCCTGCTCTGGATATCCTAATGCAGATGGAGTTCAGCAAGTAATGGAAAATTTCGATGCAGCTGTAACAGATCACGTTCGACAGTTGCAATCACAAGTACTACAGAAACTGGATGAAATAAACGCAGCAAAAGTCGACCCGCAGATGAAAGATATAGTTCAAATCAAGCAGCAGGAACTCAAGTTGCTGATGACAAGAGGGGGGGAGATAAGAGTGACTGTACCAGCAAACACCCCCAGTTTTGGAGTGTTCAATCAAGGATCTGAAGCATTTCTCAGGAAAGATATTCAGAATCACAATGTGCACTTCTTCAAAGGTAGTTTAGGCAGGTCAGCAGATGCAAGAGTTTTTGCAACATTGCCTGTCAAAGATTTGGAAAACTTATGGAAATCAAGATGGATTGCAACTGGTGCACGTACACCTCCTATCAACACAATCTATCCAGTTGTAGAAGGTGAGTGAAATTGATGTGATTCTCTGTTAATTCGAGTTGTAGAAGGACTTCAAGTGAATGATATTCCTCTTGCACCACACTTAGCACAAGAAAGTGCCAGAGTCAATTTGTGCAATGATAATTTTTTGGCAGCACAGTGCCAGCAAAGAACAATAGACAAGTGTCACTCTCGCATTAATCGCAGTAAGAAGGAAGCATAATCCAACTAGAAGTGTGACTGAGTTCAGTATTTGTCATTTTGAAGGAGATAACATTGATTTGCTTTTTGTCATGTTCGTGACGTTTTTTCATTTTTCCAAAACTTGGTCAGCTCCAACCACAAATATAATCACAAATATCCCATCTCCACCTATCAGCCTCTGCTTGCTTATCCCTTGAACACATATGTGAGTGATATAGATGCTGATTGAAGTGTCGATTGAACTTGGATCTTGATTGAAGTCTTGTCCTAATAAAGATTTTCAGAGACGAAGAACATTCATCTTCGGTTTTTCTTTGCCGATCTTGACCACAAGTCATTGGCGAATGGCCAAATGGTTACCGCGCTCGACTATGAATCAAGAGGTTCTAGGTTCGACCCCTGGTACAGATCCTGTT